GGAGGGGGATCTGCTGGTGATGAAAGATGCCGGGCGCCTGGGACGGAGACGGCTTAGGACCGAGGTCCGGCATGGGACGACCATACAGGCCCAAAAGAAGCACGGTGATCCTAGATGTACAGGATCTCCAACAAGCTAATGTATTGTATAGGAACAACATGGAATCAGGGAACAAAACATGGGTTTCCAGCAACCTTGCATGATCCGTTGGTTGCGAACATACCCTGTCGGGTTTCTTGAACTTGCCATCCACCGGGTCGATCACCCGTTTGTGCGGGCAGCCCAGCGCGAACATGCCCCCTTGATCGTTGGGAGGGTTCAAAAAGCTCGTCAACTCTTCACAAACCATTTGGTTTTTCGGTTGCAGGGGAGAGTGTCACCCAGAGGATACAAAGATGAGGTTACTTAAATTCACTGAACAACTCCATGTCCGGGACCTCTGAATCACTCGCGCCGAGGGCCAACACCCTCTCGATGCATTCGCGCCATTGCTCGCGCCTGGCGCCACCGGTCTATGGCTACAGGCCACCACGCGGGCCACGCGGGCCACGCCGTTTCCGTGACCGTGACTCCACCGGTCGCGTCGTGGTGGTCGAGCCGCGCGATCCTCAGGACGCCCAACGCCACCTCCGAGTCCGTGGAGTTCGTGGAGATCAAGCCGCGCGAGACGATGCAACAGCTCCCCGGAGCGTGACCCACGCGTTGTTCGGTAAGAAGAAAACCGCTTGAGTCAAGACCCACGCGTTTTAATACTGAGAAGAACGCCCCAGCTTCTTCAAGAGAGCTGTGACTCGGCAGATGTTATCATGTTTTCAGACGTAGACCTTAAAGATTGAAGCAACCACGATTCTTCTCGGGCACAAAGGCTTAGCAGATCTTCAGTCTTCGTTTTGGGACGTAAACCCCATCTACAGTGGATTCGGCGTGGCCTTCTGCCCCCTAGAAAACATTTATAAAGATGAGGATCTGATCTGACTGCAAAATCGAAGTGCCAAAAGGTTCCATCTACCAGGGCCCCCTAAGGGGTGTCTAATTATAGCTCCTAGGGAGCTTCAGGGGTATCCATGGATACCACCCCGAACCGGGGGGCTCTGGTTCGTTGACAACCAATCCATTTCAGGCACCAAAACTCGAAGACCCACGACTCCAGTCGCTCCGGACTGTCGTACCGGTCTCGTACCGGTCGTGGCGATCCGGTGAGGTTGTACGACTTCTGGGGCCCGCTGGCCTAGCGGAAGACGCCCGCGTAGGGCGCCGGCACTGCCATCTGCTTCTGAGCCGATGACCCGCAAGGCGTCGGGTGCAGAGGGTGGATGACTCCAAGTTGCGAGCAGTTCCTTAAAGGACTCCAGTGAGGACTCTCCCCCCAGCCTTGGCTCCCCCAAGATAAGCAAATGATTTGGTCCGAGCTTCCGCCCTTCCTGGGAGCTTGACGCCTGGGAGGGAGACCCCGATGAGGAGGTCGCTACAAGTCCAGGACTGATATACGCACCTAGCGCTTCCTGGTTGGGTGTCCTGTCTGGTGAGCTATAAGCGGTGTAGGGTTGTCCAACTTGGTAACCCCGAACGGAAGCAGCTGGTATGAGTCGACTGAGAGGGTAGTTCCAAGCCTGGAGGATAGCTGCGGGCCGAGCCATTTGTTCACATAGTGAGGACTGTCAGAGGATCGATCGAGGACTGTCAGAGCTCACACGAGCTGTTGAGAGGAATGGTCCTGGTGTTGCTGGTCGAAAGGAGGGTCTTTGGTGTCACAAGCTGTTGAGAGCAACTGTGTACAAGAGTTTGGGCCTAAAAGTCAGATGGATAGATGATTAATATTGATTAATAGGGGTGTCCGAACTTACCTGTAACATCCTGTAACTGTCTGTAACCATATGTTTAAGAGAAAGGCCGTTGCTGACCATCATCCTCTACTGTTACAGGGAATAGGACACACCCAAGATCTATGGTCAAAGGAAGTTTAGAAGGAACTTCCGTGTTACGAACATTTACATCACTCATCATACACCACTCATCATACACCACTCATCACCACTCGTCAAACCACCACTCATCATACACCACTCATCAAACCACCACTCATCAAACCACCACTCATCATACACCACTCATCATACACCACTCATCAGATTTCGTGGCAGGTGCAGCAATTTGTGAACCTCCATGTGCAGATTTCGTGGCAGGTGCACTACAAAATGCGTTTTCGAGAGATAGCGGACGCACGAAATGCTGCATTTTTCAATAGAACCGGTGGCTTCGAACCTGGCAAGTCTAGCTCTGCGGAACGACTGTTGCGAGACGGTCTCGGGTCATGCTCGGTCGGCCGTCCATTGTGATTAGGTGTTCACTTGTCTCTTGAAGTGCAGATTTCGTGGCAGGCGCAGCACTTTGTGAACCTCCATGTGCAGATTTCGTGGCAGGCACAGCACTTTGTGAAGCTGAGAACTGGCGACTTTCTAGTACAACTTTAGTACGTGGAGCAATCTGTAGAGCTGGAAGCTGAGAACTGGCGACTTTGTAGTACAACTTGAGTACGCGGAGCAATCTGTAGAGCTGGAAGCTGAGAACTGGCGACTTTCTAGTACAACTTTAGAGCTGGAAGCTGAGAACTGGCGACTTTGTAGTACAACTTTAGTACGCGGAGCAATCTGTAGAGCTGGAAGCTGAGAACTGGCGACTTTCTAGTACAACTTTAGTACGCGGAGCAATCTGTAGAGCTGGAAGCTGAGAACTGGCGAAATTCAAGTACAACTTTAGTACGCGGAGCAATCTGTAGAGCTGGAAGCTGAGAACTGGCGACTTTGTAGTACAACTTTAGTTCGCAGAGCAATCTGTGCAGCTAGAAGCTGAGAACTGGCGACTGTGTAGTACAACTGCAATACGCGGAGCATCTGGGGAGCTGGAAGATGAGAACTGACTGGCGACTTTCTAGTACAACTTTAGCACGCGGAACAACCTGTGGAGCTGGAAGAAGAGAACTGGCCACTTTGTAGTACAAGTGTAGTACGCGGAGGAGTCATCTCTCGCTGCTGAGTCAGCTCCCGCTGCTGTGAGTCATCTCTCGCGACTGAGTCATCTCTCGCTGCTCATTTATCTCTCGTTGCTGAGTCAGCTCTCGCTATAGCCATCTCTCGCGGCTGAGTCATCTCTCGCTGCTGAGTCATCTCTCGCGGCGTGCAGGTTTGGCGCAGTTCATACTGATAGTACTTGGTTGCATTTATGCAGGGCAGGACATTCAACTGCTGGTCAATACACCACTCATCATACACCACTCAGCATACACAACTCATCATACACCACTCATCATACACCACTCGTCATGCACCCCTCTTGTCGTGGCAAAGATACAACCCAGTACGCTGTTGTGAGCTGCTGATCCTGCAGGGGGCACACACCTTACACACGTGGAATCCCGTGGGTCAAAAGTCCGGAGCGTGTGCGTTTGACTGGAGGACGCGCATGTTGGAGAGAACGTGGACACTCCTATAGGTCAATTTGTTCTTATAGGAAACTTCCGCCGCCGGCTTGCCCGAGAAAACTACTTGTACAGCTTGATATAATTCAATCAGTACTACGTGTGCCTAGACCCACACATCTGCAGCTGTTTCTCCTCTTCCAGTTCGGTGGGCGTCCACATCAGGGGGGGTCGTACAGGAGAAGTACCGCCACCCATGGCCACCAGGTGCATTGAACGACCCCACCACATTCCTCGGTGGCTAAAACCTTCAGGGATGAGGACAGGCGTACAAAATCGACAGGTGGAAGAAGGCGACTGTTCAATTTTCCAGTAAGATTGAGGGGGTCACCCCAAAATCGCATGTTGGAAGGGATCATTTGAGAGCACCGAAAGCTACAAAGTGGAAGCCAGATCTTCAGTTCAAGTCGTTTTCGAGGGCAGCCAGCCAGCAAACCTGCAGGCCATGACTGAGATGGAACTGCACTGACTGACCCTGACGAACTGCACTGACCGACTGCGCTTGGCGCCCTTCCTGGGAGCAGAGGAGCTTGCTTTTGTGGCTCATGATGATTTAGACTCATCGTGTCAAGCCAAAGTGCACGACTCAAGAACGGTTCGTTCGAGAAGAAATCGCTGTAGAAGGCGGGTTTGACTCAAAAGGAGGTGTTTCCTTTATGGCCTGTTTCAGAAGATGTGTGAACACTGTCCAGTTACTGGAGACTCAAATCACCAGAAGGCCCAGGTGTTGAAGACGGAAATGCTTCTGACAAGCCCACCCAAGAGCTTTGATAACTGTTGGTTTCCCGTTGATGTTCCCTTTTTGAGTCGATCTTCTTTAGGTTCAAAAAGGATCATGAGATCCCTTTTGATGACAAACCCATATTCTTTTGCATAGCCTCTCATCCATCCAGCCCTCTTCGTGTACAGTGTGCAGCGATCGACGGGGATCGGAGAAGACCGAGCGAAAAGACCGACCGACCGTACCGTCGTACGCACGATGAGGTCCGCAGATGAGGTGGTGTTTCGGTCCCACAAAATAGAAGCAAAAGAGACTGATGATAGAATCTGATAGAAGGACCGAAGCAAAATGAGTGGCAGTTTGGCCACGAAAGTCTTTTGGGGTGTCATGTGAACACTCCATGAACGTAGTTTTTTTAAATGAAGGTTTTCTAAAAGGCGAACATTGTTAAACCATCATTAGTAAACCACTGGTTCCCCTAGTAAGGCACTTGTCCCTAGCAGCGAAGACACTCCAATCGGCTCGGTTCTGCTCCGAACGATCCGACACATCGGACAACCGGGACTTCGGCGCCCTTTTCGTTCAAACATGAGGAGGGTTCACGGTGCCAGCATGGTGCAGCCATACAGGGTAGGGGTTTTTCCTTGTTTGCAAGGAAAACGCATAAAAACACACAGAGACCCAAAAGCTGACACTTCTTGTTGGTTCTTTTTTGTTTCCTCGTCCTTCTCAGGTCGTGTTTCTTTGGTTTTTTGTCCACAAGAACTCTCCGTGCGTGGAACTCTCCGCTCATCTCCTCCTAAGGATTGATCGCGCCTGACCTGCCCGAGTTGGACCTCTTCCTAAGTCAGGACTGGTCCAGCGATTTCGCGGCGTGGTGGTCCATTTGGAGCAGCTGGACCACAGCTTCATATCCTGGCCGAGTTCACATCACATGAATGAATCACCTTTTGAAAAAGGAGACTCGCTTGAGAAGAAGCTATGGAGGTTGATGATTACCACTCGCTTGATGAACTTGCCAAAGATCTCTCTGATGCTGAGCGAAGGGCATTTGTGGATCTACTGGACCTGGCGGAGAACGTGTGGCGGAATTAACACGCAGAAGGTGAGCCGTACGAGTACCCTCTGGAGCACGTACCTGACATATATTCTGAACATATAGGTAGGGCAGGTAGGGTACCATCTTCGATTTCAGTCGAAGAGGGGCGTAGCACTAGGCTGTCGGGGAGAGGCTCTTTTGAGGGAGGTCACCAGCTTTGCCCTCGGCCACTCAGCGGCTGCGCGCTGGACAGAACTCCCACCCTTTTCGATGGCGGCGGAGGCACTCGTTCACGCCGGCACATCCTTTGCGTCGCCCTTCTCACATTCCTTTTCGTCACATCCTGCAGCTGGTAACAAAGGGCATCGCTACTAGGAGCAGGAAGCTACTAGTAGCTACTAGTAGCTCCTGGCCTTCCTACTAGTAACAAGAGGACGCTACTCGTCGCAAGAAGCGACTACTAGGCGGAGGCCATCGCTATCAGGTTGGGAGGCCATTCCTACTATAGTAACAAGCAGTTTCCTCACAACACTTCTCTCCCAGCCACCCCGCCGGTCTCAGGAGGAGGCCCTCTGCGTGGCCTTGTTGGGCGATCGGTCCGCGACAGAAACCTTCGGCGAGCAGAGTTGGCCGGTGCCAGTGCTGGCGCAGGTGCGGGTTGGATCAGTTGGGAGGTCGGAAGTCGGAGGTCGGAAGTCTATTTGGGTCTGGCTGCGGCTTGCTTCTTTTGACCAAATAAGCGCTTCTTATTACACTTCCGAACTGACCATTTTGGTGTTTGCGGGATGGAAGGTGGTATTTTCGGTGGTTTCGATGGCGTGGGATGGAGATCTGGCCCAAAAGATGATCCTCAGCAGGGACCTCTGGCGTGGGGTCCGAAACTCAGTTGGTCCAGCCCTGCAGCACCAGCAGCTTGAAGTTCCAGCAGCTTGAGTGCCCCTAACTTAGCAATTCGTGGTCCCCTAGAACCCGGTGCTTTGATCACCGTTGGTCCTTTGCACCGGCCTATGGACAGTCCTTGGAAAAATATATGAGTACCGGTCACCGTTTCATGTTCCCCGGTGGTAAAGATGGGGAAAGGAAGAATTCAGAAAGTTAGTGGTCCGAAGATGGTTTGTATTTTGACAATGATTTGACCAAACATCCCCAAATCGGCACCTGCTTTCAGGTGTCGTAGATGTTTTTCAAGCCATGAAAGAAATCATGCACGTTGAGGCTACTTTGAGGCGACGACATGCAGTGTGTTCACTTTGAACTCCATGATCTAAACTTTTGAGATCACGACGTCAGCAACAGAGTGACTTGTGGAGACACGAGATTCAGAGGTCAGGTCTGTTGAGCGAAATTCCGCTGACCGTGGGAGGTGAAAACAAGGGCAGCAAGGGGGTTGCAGTGGGTTTTGTGGCTAGAAAATTGCATCTTTGGATTCTAAAGGCATCTCAAAACCATTGGTGTGTAGCGGAACATGCCTCATTTATCAGTGGTGCCACGTTCTTCATTCTTCCACATCTTCCAAGTGACAAAACAAGCAGCTCCACCCTTTCCAACGCTCGGCAGGCGCAGCCTGCTGGTTGCCCTGGTATCTTGATGCCATGGTGGGCCTTCCTGCAACAAGATTGGACTCGCAGATACACGGAGCTCCAGATCCGCGTGCGGCTGACCGTTCGGACGTGGCGGTGGGACTTCCCTTGGTTGGCTGAAAGTCAAACAACATCTGTGGGGTCGCAGTCAAAGCCAGACAATTCATTGGGACATTCGGCTCGGTCGCCAGTTCAAGGAAGACCACAGCTGCGGTCTTGCAAACGGAAGGTCTTTTTGGTCACGTTGGGTCTGGCGGTTGCATGGACCGCATCGACCAATCCCGGTCCCCCGCCGGACGGTCGGTGGACCCGCCGGTGGGCGGTGCGACGGTCGGACTTCAGCGGGTTGCCAGTGGGGATCAGAGATGACCACGTGGCAGTCTGAATGGGCTGATAGATTCTTGGGCTGATGTCAGTCAGATACATTCCATGAGTCCGATAGATCGAAATTGTGGAGGTTCTTCAGGATTCCGATCCTGAAAGAAGAACATGCAGTCGGAGGCGTATGACAAAAACGATGGTCATATTCATGTCGAGGGAGTTCTTTCTTGGTTTGAAGAGGGTTTCTGATGTCCAATGGATTCAGAGTTGCCGAGAAGACTCTCATCCCCGTCACCTAAGACTCCGAAGGTTCTACGCCTCACGGCCGTCAAGCTTACACCCGACTAAACCTTTGGAAAAGGACTGTCCAATGGGTAGATCGTTTTTTCCCGGAGGCTGGTTTAGATTTTGGGGGGGCTGCGCACGCTCCAAACACCTCTATTAGAAGGTGCACGGAGATTTTGCCCCGGCGCAGAAGCGCTGCAGGAGAAGCTCTCGCGTGGCCGTGTGCCCTGGGAGAGCAAGGCGCGGGCGAGAGACCGCAAGCAGGCAGTGGAGCAGGGAAGGGAGTCCAATTTTGAAGGATTTGAATTTCGTCATGACAAGACTTCGGATCAAAGGCTTGTCACACATCAGAGAGGCAACTGGTCCTGCTGTTTTTGTTTCCTCGCAGCCACTGCGCCCCACGAAAGAAGCCAGTCAATGGCCACACCACCTATGTTTGAGCACAAGAGGCACTGCTTCTCCTGCCTGCAGTATGTTCTTGAATGGACCCACCTGCGAAGAAAGAGCCTCCTCAAGATTTCCAAGATAATTATTGTTGGGCTGCTTCTCTCAACAACGGGCGTTGTCACACTGAAAGGGGGTTTTCTCGGAAAAGGATGACTCCTTTCGCAGGAGAAAAGCGGCGGGAGCTTGTGGTAACAGGGATCACCTGGGCGAAAAAGACACGCGAATCATAAACAGCAGCGCATGGCTGCGCCATCATCGAACCTGGTTGATTTTTTTATGCCTGGTTCAACTGGTCAGGCAACCCTGGATACCATCTGGAAGGGGAAAAAACCCGTGACGATCGCCTCAGAAAAGTCTCCTCTCCTTCTGCCTGCTTGGAAGCTCGTTCGCTGGACAGGTCTCGAAGCTCTTTTGGCGCGGCTCAGACACGCATTGCCTGCGCCCACACAGCTGTCAGGCGAGACAGAAAGACAGCTTGAGCAGATGGGCTGTTAATCGTGCCTATTGGGAATCAATGTGTGGAAATGCCCAGGCAAAGTCAAGATGACTAGTGACCAGTGTGGCTGTCAAGTAATCCCACTTCGGCCATCGACACGTTTAGGTACTCTAGATGTGTTCCTCGCAATCGCTGCCAAGAGTGAAGTTTGAGGGCGAGGCTCTTAGAGTGCCATCCATCTAGAAATCCATTTGGTAACTATACTGCGAGTAGGATCAACACCCAGGTTTTGGCAACGATCCTCTCCTTTCTTAAATCCGAGTGATCAACATGAGAGGAGAGAGGACTTTTTGGTTCTTTTCTGGTCAGCCCTCGCTGAAGACTGAAAACTGGGTTTGCACCCCAACAATGTCGTGAGGATATCAGAAAGTTTCAGCACACCCTATGAGCTGTTTGGGTAAGCTGTATATCTCACCCAAACACCTTAAGATCCTGTTCGCTGACCGATCAGCCACACGGCCACTCCAGGGCGCCAGCTGCGAGTGTGGGAACTTCACAGAGAACTGGATGGACTATCCGCGTGCTCGCTTGGTGGCTTGGCGACGAATGGGAGCTGCATGAAGTGGAGGGATGAGAGGTTCAGGGAAGGGAAGGAAGTTCAGTTGGAAGAGTTTCGAAGGATGAGACAGACTTTGAGAAACGAAGGCAGCCAAATCCGCGGAAGAGATTCTCTACGCATCCCTGCGGGCGAGTGACCATCTCTCGGCAAGATCCCTTTTTCGGAGGTGTTCTTCCCTCGTTCTTCCCAGAATGGACGACGGTCGGTGCGGCATGCTCCTTCGGCTTGGGTTCGTTCCGACGTCGGTGGGGATCGCCTTCGATCTGGCTGAGGTCTTGTGGTCCATGCTGATGCCGCAGAAGGTGAGGAAGAACGATCCCATGCACCGGCCGAAGAACGATCGGGAATCGACCGGCAGCTGCACCGGTTTTTTGAGGGTCGTGAAAACTCTCAGCGGGGTGGAATAACAGGTATAGATAACATTGGATACCATTCCTCGGGTCTGTCCAAACTTACCTGTAACACTCAGTAAGCAAGTAAATCACTATTCTTAGAAAAAGGCCTTTGCTAACCAACCTAACCATCCTCATCCACTGGGCCCTGGTAATAAGATAGACCCAAACCCATTCCCGCTTTGAAGTTCCGTCTCTCACATGGACTGAGAAGCAAGGGCCCCTGGGATAAGGCCCCTCAAGGGATCCCGGCACACGACCTTCACGGGGACGAAGGCGAGCTTTCCAGAAAGGATTTGAAGCGGAAAATCAAGTCATGTAGCACTGGCCACTGACCCCTACCCTCCATCCTGCTGATCTGAAAGCGCCCTGTTTGGATCGCCCTGTACGTCCTGCGTGGCCCAGAAACGGCCGGGGCGCGACTTGCTTTTCGCATCGACCCGATGGTGCGGCGATCGAAGGGTCTTTGGCCGATTGGAGGGTGAACACCGGTCACGCCGGGGCGACACGACACGGCAGACCACAGGAGACCACCACCACATCCGATGTGTTGCACACGTTTTCGCGAAAAGGCAGTTTTGGAGCACGGAATCGAATCTATACAGGCACTCGAGTCTGAAGTCAAATCAACGATGAAATCATACTACACATCATGTCCATGGCATGACTATACTTTGCTCGGTTCGACCCGACCCCACTGCCCCTATATCCATCCATCTAAGGGTTCTGGTGCCCGCACTTCCTTGCCATCCATCCACGTCACGTCGTTTGCACGTCTTCGTCTCGTCTTCGTCTTCGGAGGTGGATGCCAAGTTCACCAAAGACGTGGTGCACCAGGCCTTGAGGCCTCGCTTTGAAGAGCATCGCCTGCTGGTGGAGGACCCGGATCGTCGCCGCTGCACCGGTGTTTTCGTCGGGACGGACGCCGCCGACGCAAACGGGCGGTGCACGGTGTCGTGAGGTAGCAGCCTGGTGCACTTGGGGAGAGTGTCGCCAAGTTCACACTCTTTTTTGATCAACTGGACATTGGTCAGGTGATCTGGTCGAACAGATGTGGAGCCAGGTGACCGTGTTTCTTGTGCCGCCCACCACGCCACTGGAACCTCGACATGTCGTCTCCCTCCGAAAAATGTGAGAAATACAAAAACACCAACGGCAGAGAATCCAATGGCAGAGGTGTTGGCCCCCGCAAACGGCTCAGCGCACCGTGCTTCCTCTTCAAACACCCCACGGCGATCTTGCAGCGTCTCTGGTGAGGTCGGCATGTGGTGGCACCCGCGCCACTGGGGTAGACCCACGATCCTCCGCCGCTTCGCTTGGCGTCGTCGAGTTTGTTTGTAGGTACCTTGAATTATAGACCTATTTGATGTGAGGTTTTGGAGAAGTGCAGAGAGAGAGGGAGAGAAATCCGTACTGATTGCATGTCACACGCACCACAAAAAGACATCGAAAACGAAAAAACACCATTACTGGGCCATATGGCTCAGTGTTGGCGACGTTTGGGCGATTGTCTTCGTGAGGAGATTGTGCCACCAGAAAAGCACGTGGACTACAAGTTCCTCATGTGAGCCCTGCTTCAGCTCCTCACAGCCCGCGTCCACCGCGTCGGAGTTACTGGGCTGGTAGAAATGATCCCGGCAAGAGACCCCAAAGAGTGTGTTTGAGGTCTAGAGGTGTAGCAGCAGAAAGTCTAGAGATCTAGACGCATTGGGGTGATGGCGGTGGTGATGGTGGTGGATGGAGGTTTGCAAGCTGGGAAAGGTCCAGTAGGCAGGTTGCTAGGAACAGTTGAAAAAGATTCGTAGGCGTCTCCAGTCGCAGGGCAAAAGCGTATCCTGCGAAATCCGGATGAGAGAGTTCATCCGCCCAGGTGTTGAATTCACGTGGGATATGGCTAGGGGCCACACAACCTTCACGGTGTAAAAGCAGCACAAGTTCCATAAGGACGCCCGCCAAACCCAAAAATGTACTTTGGGGAAAGCTTTTCCTTACAAACCCAAAAGTGTACCAGAAAGACTTGAAACCTATGATAAGGCTCGCACTGTGAGAGCGCCACGTCACTGCAACTTATTAGAACCTGCGGGTTGCCACAAAGTACAGCGCCTGCCACGAAACCTGCACTTCAAGGTCCACAAAGCACTGCGCCCATCACGAAATCTGCACGTCAAGGTCCACAAAAAACTGGAGCTGGCAGGAAATTTGCACTTCAAGGTCCGCAAAGTACTGGGCCTAGCACAAAGTCTGCACTTCAAGGTCCACAAAATACTCTACCAAAGTATTGCATCTGCTACGAAATCTGCACTTCAAGGTCCACAAAGTATTGCACCTGCCACAAAATGTACACTCAAGGTCCACAAAGTACTGCACCTGCCACGATTTCTGAAAATGGGCCACATGTCCAAAAGTCACGATTCACTACCCATCGCCATGTCCAAAGTATTGCGCCTGCCACAAAATCTGCACATCAACATCAAACTGCTCCGATCTCCTGCACCTGTCAAAAAAAGTCGACTTTAGACCACCAAAACACGAGGTTTCCCTTGCGCCTGGCACGAAAAGTGATCACCAAGTCCAAAAACGCGCACCTCGCCACAACGAGAGCGCACCCACAGGGCCAGGAGAAGGGAGTTGCCCAACACAGATTCTGTGTGTACTGTTTGCGAAAGTGAGGCTTGGTGAGAGAAGCACTTTTATGCAAAATCAATTGCATTTGTTTTGCTTCTTTTGTTTGCGGTGCTGCTTGACTGTACTGAGAACCATGTAAATAGCGAGAATTTGTGATTTTTGTCGTCTAAAACCATCTGCTTTGGCTCGGACCTTGCCGGGCACTGTCCAAAGCATGCTGTGGAAGGACGTCGTGCGGACGGCGGAAGCTGCACACACCCTCCTGGCGCAGCTGCGCCGCAAGGCGCTCGGACAGCTCTCTCGGGAATCCACGCCGCTCCAAAACCCCCAACTACCTGGTGCTGCGTCAACACGATTATATTTGGCAATGATTTTCAGCCAGTCCAAAAAGGGGTGGCAAGGAACAAGTTGAACAAACCAAGAGCTCTGTCGGAGAAAGCTAGAGGCCTACTACTTTGATGTGGGCGTCGATGGGCGCGTCTCAGCTGCCTGGAACTATGCATTTGACGCAGCGCAGCCGGGTGGTCGTTTATGCTGAAATATACCACCTGTCCGGTCGTCGCGAAGGGCGAAATCGTCATCAAGGATTATATGATGACGCTCCACATTCAGACAGCCGAAGCGGAGGTGCGTCCCCGAGACCCTCTTCCGCGCCGGAGCTAGGCACGGCAAGATTCCGTTGATCTAGGGAAGGCGTCCCGGGGTTTGGCGCGCAAAGTGCACCCGAGCTTGTATGCTCCCTGTCCATTTGTTCCTATTCGAGGATTTCCTGCAAAGAAAACAGGAAGAGCAATTCGCGAAGCAGAACAAGGCGCTCTTCGAATGTGCTGCTCAAGCCATGAGATCTTTTTCCGGTCATGTGTGATGAGGTCCACTATACTTTTCGACGCGACAGGCGCAAGAGAGAATAAAGAAGGAGAAAACAGAAGAAGAAGAAGAAGGAGGCCAGGCGAGACATTTGTCTTGCAACCTCGTCAATAGTAAACACGCGTTGACGTAAGCACAACTTCCACCTCTTGGCCCAACGCTATTTCCCAGAGCGCCGTACGCATTGCATTCACCGTGGCATGTTCCAAGTGGCTTGACCACTCAGTATCGATCGGAAAACCGCTCACAACCTTGCAGAAGGTTTCGTCGGATACCAACCTCGCCAAGTAGTACAGTTGTATGGACCGCCTTTGCAAGCATCCTTGGCTCGCGGCAGCAGTCATCTGTGTGCTGTCCACGCATGTCAAGAAGCTTGAGGTCCAAGAGCTCTTTTGCGCAGCCCTCGCGATGGATAATTATTATGGGCATCTCTCACACTTCTCGCTCGTGCTCTCAGCCCCGCACACTCTTCTAGGACTCTGTCGTGGGACACTCTTATTTGCCACTCTTGTGGGACACTCTTGCGGAACACTCTTGTAGGACACTCTTGTGGGACACTCTGTAGGACACTCTTGTGGGACACTCTTGTAGGACACTCTTGCGGGACACTCTTGTAGAACACTCTTGTGGGACACTCTTGTCGGACACTCTTGTGGGCACTCTTGCCCCCCACACAAGAGTGTCCTATACAAGAGTGTCCCACAAGAGTGTCCTATAAAGAGCGTTCTGCGTCCCACAAGACAGTCCTACAAGAGATACAAGTCACCTCCGTCAAGCACCAGAGAAACTGCACTTGGACATCTCAGAGCGGAACTTTTCCGCGAGCCTGCACAGCCCAAAGCGCGCTAGCCCAGAGAGCGTACCCTGGTCGACCCCGGGCTTTTTTACACTTACCGTAAGAACCCCTCCGTGTGGACACGCTGTTGGGGGAATTAAGACAATATCAGTCGTGTGGCGCGCTCGTCGTCTCCACGGCCCGCGCAGAGGTACCTGGACGGCGTCAGTTTGTCGGACCGGCTCTTTTGGGTGCCGACCGCAGCGGTTTCCCACCGGTGCGATTCTGTCGAGCCTGTTGTCGGGGAATCATGGCTGGGTTGGAAGACATGGTTCAAGATTGAATGTCGGAGAGAAGTATTCAAATAGTACGTTTCACTTCTTGTCTGGGACTTGGGTTCGAACTCCAACGAAACAGGTTTAAAAGGTGAGTTGTTTCAAGCGACTGACCTTGAAAAAGGACTGCTCCATGCCCGTTCCTGGTTTGGATTGGCCGAAAGACCACGCAGCCCTGCTTTGCTCATCTCCAGTTCAGGTCGCAAAGGGCCCACCTCCACCCATCCCTCAGGTCGCTCAAGTGACCAGGCTCCCAAACCCACACCGACTGGGCAAAATGAAAATGCCGGAAAGGGGAACCGGAAGCGTCCTTGCTCGTAGTAGTACGGCCAGGAGCCCCTAGTAGCTTCCTTTTGCTCCCCCTTTGCTCCTAGTAGCTTCTTGCTCCTAGCAGTACGGCCAGGAGCCCCTAGTAGCGTCCTTGTTCCTAGTAGCGACGCCCTTTGCTCCTAGTAGCTTCTTGCTCCTAGTAGTACGGCCAGGAGCCCCTAGTAGCTTCCTTTTGCTCCTAGTAGCGATGCCCTTTGCTCCTAGTAGCTTCTTGCTTCTAGTAGTACGGCCAGGAGACCCTAGTAGCTTCCTTTTGCTCCTAGTAGCGATGCCCTTTGCTCCTAGTAGCCTCTTGCTTCTAGTAGTACGGCCAGGAGACCCTAGTAGCTTCCTTTTGCTCCTAGTAGCGATGCCCTTTGCTCCTAGTAGCTTCTTGCTTCTAGTAGTACGGCCAGGAGCCCTAGTAGCTTCCTTGCTCCTAGTAGTGAGGGGAACCTTGGCGTTGAAATCAGTGGGCCCAAGTCCAAACAGGTTTCTCAAGTGTAACCGATGAGACTTGGTCAAAGCCTCCCTGATTGAAGGACACTAACGCCATCTAAGACCATTGGCCACAAGGTGTTTGCGTGTTGAACCATCTCAAAACCAGAGGTGGCACACCAGGTGGGGTCTTGATTGATATGCAAGCCACCGTACATGTGAAGCACGTGCAATCTACCTCCACTAGTGCGGAGCAGCTCGGTCCCAAGGCCTTACAAAGTTTGATCACAAGCACATTGTAGGTATACTCGCACAAGTGCCTGCTTTCTTGATTTGATTAATTAAGTTGTTTGTTTTACAGAGTTGTGTAGAAACCCGTTTTAGTAAGCTGAGCAACTGACCCCTTTTCTGGGATGCCGCCATTCGACTCCATACCCTTTTTTGTTTGCCCCGCTGCCCGCTGCCGAAGCTCGGCTCCCCTGTTTTGGCCCAACTCCGGTTCGCCACCAGTGCGTCTGACTGAGTCGCTTCACAGCACGTGGCCTGTGGTTTGGCCAACTCCAGGTGCTGCTGACTGAGTCGGTGCTCTTCAAAGCCGACTCCAAGCTGCACCTGGACTCCGTCAGCGGAAAACGAGTCTGCACACGGGCGGGGCGAGGGTTCACCGGCGTCCGTGCAGCGCGGTGCGCTACTCGATTCACGGAGGGCGTTGGTGTTTTTTGGGGGAATGGGAGTGTGAAGGGATGAAGATTTTGTCATGAACGACCGTGTTTCTGGTGTTTCTGGTATGGATTTGTGCCTAGCATCGTCGGGATTGGAGCACAGAGTTGTGAGGAATAGCTGTTGTATCAATCATCCAACAGAGCGAGTAGCTGTTGCACAGTTTGTTGCACTTGTTACAGGAATGCCAGTTTCACGGTTGCCTCTCCCTGGGTCACTCTTGGATTTGTATGCCAACGCAGGGTCAGAGATGGTTCAACCATCAATGTTCCAAGAGGGGTTCACTTTGAAGGCAAGTTCGGTTCACTCAAAAAGTTTCTGGATCGAGAAGATCTTTGAAGGTTTCTGGGGTGTCAGACTCGGGATTCAAGCCCAAAGGAGGTCGCAGGTCTCTGACATAAGCAAACCTGAACAACATCTCCATGAGTGTCCGTTCCAATGTGTTCGGAGGTCTCTCCGACCACATCGCCATTCGAAACGAAGGGAACATCGCCATTCGCTGCGCGTCCGCCCCAAGAACCACCACTGTCAACACGCCACGCACCAGATCGGTCGCCACGGGAATGTCCCACAGTCACGCACAGCGATGCGGTCGACACAGCGATGCACAATCGGAGTCGTACGGTGGAGGGAGCCATGCAAAATGCCAGGCATGTTCCAGAGGTGTCAGGCAAAAACCTCTCCAACAAAGGTTCCTTTTGGTGGTAAAAACCTATCGTTTCACCATCTGAGGCAAGTCTGGCTGGATGGCAGTCTTAAGGCATGGGAACACTATGTTCCGGTGGCCGAGGCCGGCAGGAAATGGGAGAAAAGTTTGTCGTTTGACGTGGCGTTTGTCCTGGCGAAAACCTCCTAGAGAATCCCAAAGACCGTCGGACCGTCGTTGAAGGGACAGTGGAGCAGTCCTTTCTTTCACATCCTTTTTGTGCTCGGATGGTTGGAGCGTGGGAAACAAGCGTGTTTTGAACCAGTTGTGTTTGGAGCGGATGAGAAGTGTCCCATGGACAACTGGCCGTCGACCTGTCGACCTGTCGACCTGTCCCGTCGAAAAAGCGTGGCGCTCCATGTCATGTTCAGAGTTGTGACCAACATGATGTATCGGAAACCACGCAGGATGGCTCTCGAAAACTCGGAGTTGACTTCGGAATTGGCTGATTATTGTTCGGCAATCGTGAACAGCAATGTCGCTCACGCTTACTTCAACCTCACTTTGGCCTATCGAGATTGGCATGCTGTGGCCCAAATTGTGAGCCAAAGGTTGACAACCCTTGAGCAAGCATTAGATTGGATGAATGTGGAAGATCCTCTCCTCACCCCTTTTCGTGCGTGATCAACTTGCCGTATGAGAGGGAAGAGCAAACTGCCAAAGATCTGGCTACGGCCAAACAAACCACTTGTCTGCACGGATTGAAGTTCAACACAAAGCGTGAACCGGGACCGTTGATGCCGCCTGACGTCATAGCTTTAGGACGAATGACTTCGGAGACTATGGGGCACGCACTATTCCCCATGCATCATCAACGTTTGACCAGGGAGTTCGCCAGGCATGCAGCATGCAAGATGACTGCAGAAGTGTACTGCCAACTCGTCGCGTATTGCGCGTACCGTCATCCTGGTCCTCATCAAGTCACTTACCTAGGATGCGTATGGGTTGGAGACGTGCTGCACGCTGCTGACGACGATATTGCTGATCTTCCAGTGTACGTCATCACGCAACTTGGTTTCCGACAGCATTGGCCCACTCACAATGTCCAGGCTGTGAAGATGTGTGAAGTCTAAACATACTAATGGCAAGGCGCTCTTCGTGCTCAATCCCAGTCGCGCCGCACCTTGTGAGATTCTTGAAGGCGGGAGATCAGCATTTCCGATGACCTGGTCTAAGACTATTGGTTCTGCACCATACGAGCAGCTTAGTACGCCGACTATTTGGCTTCGTCGTGAACCAATTGGCACGTGGGCTCATATTCAAGGTCATCGTCTATCAACCTATCATGCCATTGGGGCAAAGGATATCGCAGAGATCCAATCTGATTTAAGCGACCTCAATATGGCCACGCGTGAACAGCTGTTAGCTAGACTAGATGCGTTGACCACGCGCAGTCCGAAATTCTCAGCTGAGGAAGTTGATCGCTGCTCGGCCAGAGGATTTATCGCTCCGACCCGTCTTTGCGTGGACCCTTTCAATGTTGCCTTAGTCCAGCAGCTTCTGTCTCTGAGGCTCAAAAACTCGGACGACCCGCTGTCGGCTTTACCCCTCAAAGCGCGGGTGGCTGGCTCCACACGTGTCCACGCTGGCCTCAGTGTTGACGTCTGAGATCAGCCGGTATGAACAAGCTCTCGATGCCATGCTCCAAGCTAAGCTTTGATACCCATGTGGACCAGGCTGCCGAAGACGTCATGAAGCTGCGCCAGTTTGCTGCTACTGGTGACCCGGCCGCTCTGCGCGGCTTTGATATATCCTGGTCCTCGCACGCGGGATTCCCTTGCAGCAAAGGCGTTTCGAATCTTTTGAGCTGCCACTCGATGAGCCAGATCTTGACTGGGATTTTGGCTGGCGATGAAGCCTCTCTTGAAACTTCAATGGTTTTCTTGGTGTTCAGAAGGAGTAAGATGCAACGTCTGCAGGAACCCAAGCTCGTCAAGGACGAATTTGAGAGTATGGCAGTGCAAACTACCAAGCCTTTAGCATGTCGCATCGGGTCGTACGGCAATTTGGTAATGCATGCAGTCAACAAATTGTTCCACAAAATGATCGATACAGCCCTTGCGCGCAATATCAACCGCTACATTGATTACACACCTGATCAGTACTGGCCGGGGGCAATGGCACGTGCCTGGCGATACTTCGACAAAATCGGGATTGCCAAGCACGACAAGCTGGATGAATTTGACCAGTCATCTCGGTGGGATGAGGAACAGTTGCTGGCAGCCGAGTTGTGGTTTGACAGCTTGGGATAATGATGTTCATGCCAGGCCCTGCTGTTAAGCACACCAAGAGTTGTTGTCGACCTTCAGTCTTCCGATGCAAGGCTGATTGAACTTATTCCAGCAGCCTTTATGCGGCATGTTGACAGGTTCATGGCTCAATACGAACCCCGACCTGCACCTGGAAAGATGCTAGTCAACCAGTAGAAAGTGCCTCCATGCGAATTTTTTTGATGTCAGTGCTGACTGCATACATTTTCGGTTCGAAAGCTTTGGGAACTAGACGACGGTTGGCCCGAGAGCGAGACTTGTGATTGTCCAGCACTGTCGAAAAGATATATAGAAAGAGAAAAAGAGAGAGTGGATGTGAAGGAGTGACAGTGTGGATGTGCAGGTGCGATATAGATCTGTAGATGTATGGAGGTGGAGAGGTAGATCTGTGGATGTGAGCGTGCGAAGATGTAAATGCACAAAGGCGAGAGAAAAGATATGCAGAAAGAAAGAAAGAAAGAAAGACAGGACAGATGTCAAGGAGCGACAGTGTGGATGTACAGATGTGATATATGTGTGGGTGTGGTGAGGTGGAGAGGTAGATCTGGGGATGTGAGCGTGTCAAGACGTCAATGTAGAGAGGTGAGGGGGTGTAGACGGAGATGCGTCGATGCAACGGCAGCGCAACGTCAACCTTAGCTGTGCAAGCACAACGCTGAAGAAGTTCAAAAAGAACTGAAGAACGTACATTTCATACTGAAGGCGGATGTGAAGGAGTGACAGTGTGGATGTGCAGGTGTGATATAGATGCGCAGATGTGTGGAGGTGGAGAGGTACATATGCAGCTGTGAGCATGTCAAGATACTCTCGTGGGACACTCTCTCTGGGACACTCTTGTGGGTCACACTTGCGGAAAGCTCTTGCGGGGCACTCTTTTGGGACACTCCTTACTACAAAATCGCCAATTCTCATCTTCCAGCTCCCCAGCTACTCCGCGCACTACAGTTGCACTACAAAGTCGCCAGTTCTCATCTTCCAGCTCCCCAGATACGTGCGCGCATGGGACTCATCGCCCTGTCGCCTGCGTTTCGCGCACTCGACACGCACGATCTCCGCAGAGGGTTGCGCCGGACAAAACCAAATCGCACTCTCGCCTGCATTTCGCGCCCTCGACACGCACGATCTCTGCAGAGGGTTGCGCCGGACCGGGACAAATCGCGCTCTCGCCTGCATTTCGCGCCCTCGACACGCGCGATCTCCGCAGAGGGTTGCGCTGGACCCGGACAAATCGCACTCTCGCCTGCATTTCGCGCACTCGACACGCACGATCTCGGCAGAGGGCCAGGGCCAGGGTTGCGCCGGACCGGGGCAAATCGCGCTCTCGCCTGCATTTCGCGCCCTCGACACGCACGATCTCCGCAGAGGGCTGCGTTTCGTGGTGCTCCGGCGGCACCGCCTAAAGAAGAGCGAGAGGTGAAGATGTGAGATGTAGATGTGAGGATGTGAACATGAGCAGAGATGTAGATGTGCAGGTGTGAACATGAGCAGAGATGTAGATGTGTGAAGATGAAGATGAGCAGAGATGTAGATGTGCAGATGTGAAGAAGGGAGAAGAGAGAGACGTAGATGTGTGAATATGAAGATGAGCTGTGTAGATGCGAGGATGTGAAGATGCGCAGAGATGTAGATGCGCAGATGTGAAGATGAGCAGAGATATAGGTGAGAACGTGATTGTGCAGAGGTGAAGATGTGAAGATGTAGAGGAGGTGTAGTTCTGCAGATGTTTTTTACGAAGAACCCTTCGCAGGCGCTCTCGGGAAAAAGTGGGAAACGTCGCAAATCTGACCAAGCCACATCTGCTTCCCGAATTCCTGCAGAGGAGTTGCCATTCTGAAGTAGTTCACCTGACTGCCCAAGAGTGGAAAATCCGTTCGGAACCACTGTGAACCCCGCAGGATTCTGAGGGGCAGGAGTTGTAGCTAATCTCCTCTCCCCCTGACCTGTGTGACCAACTGTTGTCAACGACTCAATGGAGATCATCAACCCGAACAGTGAGAGAGGAGTCTTCCTGAGACATGGAGAACTTGGAAGCGTTTGACAAGGCCAATCATATGACACTATGGGTCAACATCCCAACCCCCACAAGTGATAGATTTTTGGAAGAACTGAACAACATTGAAGAGTTCAACCTTGCCATCAGGGTCGTGCCAAACACGTTTAAACATTAAATAAATATTAAACCATTTAAGCTGTAAACTGTTTAACACATTTACAAATCATTTACAGCTGCTTTGGGGATTGCTTTGTTCAAGCATGGTTTAAGCAGGCTTCGATGATGATGATGAGGAGGAGGAGGAGGACGAGGAGGAGGGTTTCTATTTTGTCCATATAGACCATATACCTACCCATACCAATTGTTTAAACATACATGCACTCTTTGGTTTAAACATGAACGTGCTTAAACATATGCCTTTAGACCGAGCCTTTGTTTAAACAGTTGAACCACCAGGAAGGCTACCCACCCCTGCTTGCCATTCCTCTCGTAGATGCAAGCACCGGAAAAGCACCCACCAAAAAAGGGATCAGAAGCCGCTCGGGTTTCGAGTCGTTCCTTTGGACGGAGCTCCCAGACAGGATCTCACGGACCTTTTGGAGCGTCTTCAGTGGGCAGAAGCCCAGGCCCCGGCCACGTTCCCCCGTGGGCGCGGAGCGCACGCGGGGAGCGCACGCGGCTTTTGGGAGGGGGGGGACCGGCTCGGTCGTTGAAGGGTTTGGGTCCTTCACCCAGCTGGGTGAAGCCTAGGGTTCAACTTGACAAGAGTTGGACACCTTAACGGTCCAACGGTTTGACACCCCCAACACGACCTGGTCTTGGAGGGTTGTTTCCTGCGGATTATCTTGGTCCGCAAGGGCGCCCCTGGGATCATCTTCCAGATGTGCGGGGGGAAGCTACTAGGAACAAGTGCCTTACTAGTAGTAACAAAAAGAATTTAATTTGAATTCTCATTACTAGCAAAAGAATCTACTTCGGAGTTTCTTCAAACGTTTTGAAGCAGAAAGACGTGTTTCTTCGTGAAGACATGGGACCTGGGACCTGGCCAATCGCAATTTGGCCGAACTTGGGAAACTCTGTGACATGGAACTTGGGCCCAAGAAAGCCAAGCTAATGGGGTTATGGGAAGCGGGGAGCACATACAGCTGAAAGATAGGTTTGTCATCCAGTGATTAACGGATTGAAAAGCCCTTTCCACACCCCTTGTTCACCCGAATTCACTGTTCTGGTAGTGCTTCACTCCGAAACAACTCCGAACTGTCGTTGCAACAACTCTTCGCCGGCAGACTTCGTTGCCAAAATCCTCGTGTTGTTCCTTCCCCTCCAAGCCATGTGGACCTTTCTGTCAACCTTCTTCCCAAAAACAAGCACCACCCTGGTCGTCGCCCATGTTTGGAATTGGGTCTCAACCGATGTTCTTATCGTCCACCAATGTTCGCTACACGACCTCTGACGTCGCAGGACGCAGCGGGGCAGTTGCACGATCTGGCGCTCCGGGCTGCGGCACACGCCAGCGGCTCGGCGGAGGGTCTCTGAAAGAGATAGACCGAGCAGATCGCTCGTGTGGAAGCTTGAGTCATTTACAATCCCACCATTTCAATGGTACAAACCTTTTCATATTGCTTTTGTAACCAAGATTCACATCACCACTGATGCCATGTTTGGGAGTGATGCTTGAAGAGAAGAGAGAGGATCCTGGTCACTGGTCTTTTTGTTCCCATGATCTTTGTGTTCGTTTGGCAGTGATTCGTTTGTGTGCGTCGACGATTTTGTCATCAAGTTCTGGGTGAGGGGATTGAGAGCTTGATGTACACGTTACATACTGCTTGTTGTTGGTGAGTTGATATCGAGTCCTCTCAAGAACACCTGGGACAAATGTCACCATGTCTGTCTTAAGAAGACTATAGGTCATGATATGACATATATCGGATAGGTCATGGTTTCAACCCACCCTTTCGTTTGGGGCTGGATGCCATGGGACCCGATACTACGCTGGAATTCCTGACCAAGCTGAACCAGTCGAAGACGGAGATCTCCCACAGCAGTGGCCCACTGCACGGATGGAAAAAAAGATCCAACTGAAGCTGGTGTGCTCCTCCTTGGTGTTTCAGATACCATCTTCAAGTTGCGCTGGGAAGCCAAAGCTGTGGCCTGTTGTCCCTGTGTTCGGTGTCTAGGAAGGGAGACAAACCTGTCACCAACACGGTCAGGTCATCGCTGGCAGCAGAAAAAGGCACAATAAGAATCATAGATTTGCTCCTAGTAGCGATGCCAGGAGCCCCATTCTTAGCGTCCGATCGCTCCGTTCGTAGTGGATCTCATCGACCGGAATCAGGTTGTTTTTGAGTCGTGAGTAGTTCGAAGAAATCTCGACGAGGTGTCCATTTCTCCTTGGAGGCGAACCTCTTGTATCTCTATCACCTCCTTCATGGCCTCAAGAAGGTTCCGGTTCTTCCGGGACGTTTGCCGCGGTGTTGTTCTCGACAGCGAAGCGGTTGGGTTTTGGGCCGCGGGAAGGGTGTGCCGGACCACGTGGCGATCTGTTGGTCCTATTGGATGGTCATCTCTACGGTTGTAGAGTCTTATTGTTATATACTAGTAGTAGGGCACTTGTTTCTAGTAGCTTCTTGTTACTACTAGTAAGGCAGTTGTTACTAGTAGCGATGCACTTGTTTGTAGAGTCTTCAAGTGATAAAAGTTTAAAAGTTGGGTCGGAATCTTCTGGCCAAAACCTTCTTTTTCGGAAGCATTCGTTGGGTCGAACGAAGATGGTCTTGCAGGTGCACTTTCTTCTTGTTTGAAAGGACTAAGAAAATCCAAAAGAAATGCTATTCACTTCATAGACTGAGAAGAAAGGAATCAATCCAGAAGAATGCCTTGAGAATCAGTCACTGCGATACTTCACTTTATAGACCCCGTTTCGGTCTTTGCAAGTCTCCATCTGTTTCCAACTGCAGCCATCAGGTGCTTCCAGCGCCCACGCCGAACGAGGCGGAACCACTGGGCCGACGGGAGCAACAGAAGCAACAGCAGATGAATGCCAGGCGCACGACCTTCGTTCGGGAGAGGAGCAGAATGGTGACAAAAAATTGCCTCCAACCTAATAGCAATGGCCTCCAACGTACGTAGTAGCGATGGTGATTGCTTTTTTGGTTGAACCTCTTTCTGCGGGGAATGCCATGCCCAATGGTCACGCGTCCTGTTGGAATCCATTTTGGGAGGTTGACCCTTGATCCAGTTAGCTTCTGTTTTTGAGGGAAGTCCAACATGGCTTTTAAGCATTGTGCAGTTACTCGAAGGTGTGTGGCATATGTTTGTTCTTTGGGGGGCCTGTCACCCGGCGTTGACTTTTGCAAGTTTGCCTCATCTTAACTTGTTGTGGTCTTTGTTCAGGAGTGGGCAGGAGTAGTTGAGGGCAGTTGCAGAAAATATTTGTTTGACCTTTCTTTACAGAGTTCTTGTTGCCCTGGTTGGTGCCTGGTTGGTGACCTGCAATCGCTGTCTTCGCTCTTCTCAAAGTGTCACGTGTCACGTGACTGCAGTGCTGACAGGCAATACCTGGCCCACGCGTTGGAAATGCTGGCAACGCCCAAGAAGGCGCCGTTCGCGATCTTTTGGCCACCGAGCGAGACGCGGCCCGCCCCAGTGAGATGGAGGGAGGGGCCGACATCCAAGACGTGGTTCATGGGGAAATCCGTCTCAAGCCGACTTCGCTTGGGCTGCTCTACGACGAGTTTCGACCTCAAATAGGTTCGAACACTTCGGCGCTTGTGGCCCCGCCAAAACCAAACTCTGCAGCCGGCCATGCCTTCGTTTCATGTGCGATGCCCCGTCGTCGACCCGCACCTGGTGCAGAGGGGTTGTGGTCGAAATTTCTCCACTGACCCAGTCAAAGTCCAAAAGAATGATCCTTTAGGGGACCTGAAAGGGAGCGTCCTTATGTTTCCTTTATTTCCCGTATTGGAAGAATATAGTCTTTGTGGACTTCTAGGGTGTGGATGTGTGAAACACATGTCCAAGGGGTTTTGCGGCTTGCTTCCGGTGATGTCCCGTATTGAGACACAGTGGGGGGTGTCCACCAGCACATGCCTGACCAATGGGTTTGGGTCTACCTTCTTTGAAAAGTTGGGGTGCCTTGCTTTGCAGTGCTTCGTTCGATTCGCATCGGTTCTCAGATGTTTTTTCTGACTCTTTCTTGTTCACTGTTGTCCACCGGAGTGTCAGTGTAGCCACTCACTTCGGCAGAATATATGGAATAGTTACATGCATTTACCCCATTTGCCGGTGCTTCAAGGACCCAAACCTTGAAAAAGGTGTGTGGAGAGAACCCACCCTAGGCTGAGTGCTCAACCTGCCTGTTTCAGTTTCACCAGGGTCTTGGCTTCTGATCCTGGATCTTGGATCTTATTGTGTTCTAGCTACGAGCAAGGGACTCTTCTAGGGGCTCCTGGCATCGCTACTAGTAGCATTCTTGCTATTGTCTTCTACACCCCAAAGGTCTCCCCACTGCGGTGTATGCCCTCCCGCCAGGGGCCACCCACGACAGTGCCGACGGCTCCGCCGACGGCCAAGCAGCTGGGCCAGTGGCGTGGGACCGTCGGAGATCGTTGCGGAAGAAGTCAGGACGTCGTTCATGTTCCACCTGGTATGATGCCGTTTCGCACCATTGGTAAACAGAAAGTGGGATTGTCCGTTTTCCAGGGTTGTGGCGTCCCCATCCCTACAAAATCGGCCCCTGAAAAGGTCCGAAATGCATGGTCAGGCCGTGAGTATGTCACACGGGACGGGGAGTCCCCGACGGCCATCGGTCGAATCTGGCCAAGCGATGGCGAGAGTTGTTTTGCGGCCGAGCAAGTGTGATTCTTCGGGAAACTAGTACCCAGACACTCCATGTATGGGGTGGTTTTGGGGGGTCAATGTAGGTATATATGGCAGTCCCATGGAGTGTCTGGGGTAGGTTGGAGGCCATCGCTACTAGGTTGGAGGCCATTAGAAGAGTCGACGAAGAGTCGAACGACTAATTACACCTAAAGCGCTGGTGCTGGACGACTTCGTCCAAGGTTGGACTGTTGGACCTTGGGCTTCACGGCAGAGCTGTGCTGCGGCGACGACATGGGCCACGAGGGGAATCCTGCTTGTTGGGATGAGGCCGGGCTGTTGAATCGCAGCAGAGCTGGCTCTCCAAAAGAGCAGCGCGAGTACTGACTGCATGGGGAGTACTGACTGGGGTGGTGTGGGTTCGGGTGCTGCAAAATCCAATATCCCTCGACTGCTTGGATGAAGACACGGAAGGCCGTTCCTGCCACGGCTGCACAAGACCAGCTTATGAAGAATCACAGCTGATGGCATGGTCTCCGCCCAAAAGGCGTCCAAAAAGCATGTATTGAACAATGCATTTGGTTCCAATGTCCAGAACCTCTTTCGTCTGACGGTCGCACGGGTCGCACGGGGACGGTCCGCACGCACAGGGACGGTCCGAACAGCACGGCCGCAGGGGGCGTCCAAGATTCTGTTCAAGCCATTTGGTTTCACAAAGAAGAATTAATAGCTTGTTACTACTAGTAAGGCACTTGTTCCTAGTAGCTTCTTGTTACT